TCTTCTTGCTCTTCTGCCGCTCCTCGTTCGTTCTCCGTTTCGCTTTTAACGTGCAATCCTCTCCCCAGTGCCACATCTAGTCTTTCGCTAGAGTGAGTGTTTTCCTTCTTTCTCTCTCTTCCTCGTTATTTCGCTCTCTTAAAAGCCGCTATCTCTTCCGAGAACACGAGTGCGCCATATGTACGCCTACGCGTTGTTACGAGACGCAATTTACCGGGGTACGTCCTAGACAGTGTTCCCTTTCGGTGAACTTTAAGTGTGCTCTCTCTCTCTCTCTCCCTCTTTTGGTTTCCCGTTCAAACATGAAAGTCCTCCAGATTGTCTGCGCCGCCTTGAGACGTCGAGTGCTCACAACAATTTGTTGACCTCAGCAACGCTACCATCGATGTGTATTTATACATCAATAATTAGATAAAAATATTTTAAAAAATATACAATTGTGTTCTTTCCAACGCTGTTAATCTGAGCAAGTACAGTGCAGACAATAATTTCACATCTCCGGACAAACGTAGTTGCGAAATTGTTATTTCGAATTACGCGAGGTAATGAAAAGATCAGACCTTGAAAGGCCTTGATGTACGCGTGCAATTCCTCCGAGCATGTATTTAAATAATTCACGCTTCTTCTCTCAATTCGCTCGAGATGCTGAATCGCGCCGATTTGAAGGCTCGTCCCTCTCTCGTTCCGACCGTCTCGTTTTGAGCATTGTCACGCGCACGCGTTGCCCCGTCATTTGCCAATTATCGCGAGTGAAAGCACACTCGAGTAACGCGAAGTAATTGCGTTACACGGACAGGACCGAGAGCGCAATCGTGCGGTGGACAATCGCGCGGGAACGTTACTCAACAGAGTAATCGGCGTCGTCGTCGTCGTCGTCGGTCGTCTCCTTCGTGCGTGTAATCCGCAAGCGGAAAAATACACGGTCCGGCAATAATCGCGGTAATCGCGGCCCGGAGAATGCGGCAGAGGCGCGCGTTTGTAAGCACGTAACGGTTTGCGGGACATCTCGCACATGATCGCTCGCACGGCGGAAAGATACGATCCTATCGCCTGCGATCGAATCTCGATAAAAGTCATCGACACAATCGGGAGGGATCATTAAAAGATGAAAGATACGAATAGACATTGAATTGCAATTGCTGAAATTACACGCGCATAGTAAAAAAAATGTTCATTTTAATTTTAATGAGCCTTTTGGAACTTTTTTTACATGTCCTAGAAAGAAAGTCTACTGTAAATTTTAACCCTTCAAGTCCAGACGTGAATCTCCCAAACCTATTCACAAAGTGCGCATCAGCGTTTCTAGAAAAAACTAGTTTTTTTTTTAACATTTATCTTTGAAACTACCAGAGATTTTTTCAATTTGTGTTGTTTTGTTTTCAATCGACGCAGAATTGTTCAAACTTTCGATTCAAAAAAACAGAATTGAAAAAATATTGATGTTTTGTGAAGATATTCGATCTTAAAATCGCGCGGGTCTCACAGACCCGGTTTGGTCAACTTGTCATTATTTTTTCAGGTCTGACCACGAAGAGTTATTAAGGGAAATTAAATTAACTCATTCGTCATGTGTTACTTATTGACAAACTAATAATGTTAAGTAATAAGACACAATAAGTTTATAATTGTTATTTTGACTTTAAAGTGATGTAAAACTAACATAAAATACTTAAAAACTACGTGAAAGAGTAGATACAATAAAATAAAAAATGTCCTTCAAAAAGAATATGCTTTTTGTGCTAAATTAACATTTGATAATAATTGTTTTAACTTTGATTTTAGTAAATTTGATTATATTTTATGTATCAAAGTCCATTTTAAGATTTACTTTAACTTTTTTTAGAAACGTTGAATTGACTTTGAGACATGTAGATTAATTGAAATAATTGTATATATTAGAAGCACTCAAAATAATATTACATTTGTAAGTAACGCAAAATTTTAAGTTTTGAAGTTGACATGAATCTAACATACAAAAGCAATAATACATTATACGTTAATTTTAGTTGTATGTTAATTTTACATTGAAGTAATAATCAAAACGAGATAAGAAATTGTGATACTCCACTTTAACATATGCACGATCTTTTACCCTGTATTATTGGCGTACGCAAAAGTCTCTTTTTTTTACTTTTAGTTGCTAATCATAAAATACAGTACCTACAAATCAATCTGAGAAATAGTTTTCCTCATTTTCTGTAACCTTCTGTCAACTTACAAAAACACAAAACGGGAAAATACTTAAAATTAAAATAATTTGATTAGGGGATTGAAAAAAAAAGACTAAAACGCGTTTGCATACATCTAATACTTGAAGTTTACCTAAACATTTTTGAGAGAACATCGAACGCGCGTGTGTTTCATATATTTATTTGTTTTAGTGTAAAACTAAACAAGTAGATTGCATAATTTAGCAAACGCATTATTAGAAGGCTTGTTTGTTTTTTACAAGATATGCTTGCCAATTATGATAATAAAACGATTACACACCAGACTTCGGTCTTCAAGCACTTTTGCCTTGCGAAAGAAGCTTAACGTGCCGTGTAGCGGAATTACGAGTCACCTCGCGATAGCGCACGTGTTTGAGCAAAAAACGGATAGCTTAATCCGTCGAAATAGTACATCGTTTTAGAATTGCAGCGAGCATTAACCTCAATGATATGATGGCGATGATGATGATGATGATGAAGATAATGATAATGATGATAATAATAACGGCCGGTCGATGAACCGGCACGTCGCGCACAGCTTTCGGCGAAATTCGTATAGCTTCGATCGGATCTCCAACAAGTCGTTCTCCGGACGATCATTCGCGTATTTGCGTGTGCTTGTGAACGCGCCGCATGTATATTTGCTTTTGCACAATATTTGCCGACACTCGAGGAGATATTGCCGCGAGACTCAGGCAGAGGCGGGTTCCGGTACAGGTGTCGCGTCTCCTCGTCGTCGTCTCGGACTTCTCAGAAGTAGCTGGCTTCACGTAGCGAAGTAGTGTACGCGAGTTATGTATATATCTTTGGCTTCCGCCGCGAGTTCGCTCGCGACGTGTGCGAGCTCGAACGGCGAGAAACACGGACCGTTAGTCACACGCGGTGGTCAGCGAAGGTCCGGAGAGAAAAGATTCCGCCGGTTACGTCACGCCCGTGTCCGATGAGGAGGACGATCGCCCCGGGCGACGTAGAAATTCGCGCTGTTATAGACAAGCGTGGCGCAACCCGCTCGTGAGATTTTTGACGGATCGCGCGGCGGATCTTTTGGTTGAACGAGAACTCGAGTGCCCTTGCTGCTGACGGGCTTGTTTTAGCGCGATATATTCATACGACCATTGTCGGTCGCTTCGCACACGATCAAAAAGTATCCGACGTATTCATCGGCATATGTGCGCTTGTCCGATTTCGGCGTTAAACCGCAGAAAATGTTGTCAAAATCACTTGATACGTATTTACGGCGAATAAATGCGTGCGTGTTTGTTTTTTGTGTCACCGTGGACTTAAGATGAACGCGTGACTGCATAGATAAATTTCAATAGACATCGCGAATATCACAGTCTTTCGTAAATTTACAGATAAATTTCATAGACTAGATGAATGAACAAAGTCACATCTTGGGGGGCAAAGCATATTTAGAAGTTTTAGTTTCTTTAACACAAAAATCAACATCCTATAACAAAATTATCCTTAGTACTATAACAAAACTTCTTGTAGTCGGCAAATCTTGTTTTAATTAGTGTCTTTAGAATACAAGGCTGGACATCTCGAAAGCCCCTCAAAATGACGCAATGTAGTGGGGATAGTGATAGTGATAGGTTTTATTATTATCAAAAAGAAAGTAAATAATAAACAAGATATTTGATTATAATATTAAAATAATATTGAGTAATAATATTAATTTATTTACATATATTTAAATATTTAAATATTTATCTATATGTATTTTTCAAATATATTTATTATTCTTTTTTAACCTCAAACAAATGTAAACTTTAATCATAAATTTTAAGTATAGAATATACTATGCCGTATTTTTATGTGCCGAAATGCTCCAATTCGTGGAAAAAAAACTGTTCCATGTATCGTTTCGTAACTTTATTTTATAAATAATAAATGTTTATTATGATGTTTCTTCATGTATAATAATATTGTTATAATAAATGTTAATATTGTTATAAACTAAATGTTATAATAAATATAGTACAAACTTAATTAATCTTGTTTTTTTGATATTTTATTTTTAATATTTTTTAAATATATGTGCGTTCCCGCTGCACTTTGATTGGTACCGTCATTTTGAGGGGTCTAATCATATGAACCAATAAAAAGAAGTCAACGAGATGTCCAGACTCTGTATTCTAGACACTAGTTTAATAATATTATGACCCACATGTTGAGTCATCGGCTAGACAGATGAGACATTGCCTGACTCATATGCTAAATCGTCGGTCTCGAATGTGTTAATTTTGTTCGTAGACACGGATATCTCAGACTCACTCAAAAATTGCGCATCGGCGAAAAAATTAAATTTTTTTTAACGCTTATATCTTCGAAACTACTAAAAATTTTTTCAATTTGTTTTTTGTTTTTGATCGACGCAGAATCGTTCAAATTTTCGATTCAAAACAATAAAATTGATAAAAATATTGATTTTTCGCGGCGATATTCAAGCTTAAAGTGGACCTCACAGACCCAGTCTATAGTACTCGTGAGTTTTTTTAGATCTACAGGCAAAGGGTTAAGAAAGAAACTTATCTACACACATCTTTATCTTTTATATATGTCTTAATTTGTTAATTGTATATCATTTGCGTTATATTTTAAGACGTTCGAAAATTCTGCAAGCTCGATCGATTCCAATTTGTCTTGTTGATCCGTCTCGTCTCGTCTCACGCACGGATCATCAAAACGGCAAAGAATTCGTACCGTGTAACGTGGAAGTGAGATCGGAAGTTTAGGTAAGCGTGCGAGTCTTCACATTATCAAGGCGTATCTTCATTCCTTTTACAGCCGTGCAGAGAGGGCGAGTGCCGCCGTCGCAACCTTCCGGTTTGCCGGGTCTGCCGGGCCAGTTCGCCCTGACGAACGGGGACGCGGTCGCGTGCGCCAGCCTAAACGGACACCATTCTTACCTCTCGTCGTACATAAGCCTGCTGCTGAGGGCGGAGCCGTATCCGACCTCGAGATACGGCCAGTGCATGCAGCCCAATAATATCATGGGTATCGACAATATTTGCGAGCTCGCGGCCCGATTGCTCTTCTCGGCGGTCGAGTGGGCCCGAAATATTCCGTTTTTTCCAGAGCTTCAGGTCACGGACCAAGTGGCCCTGCTCAGGCTAGTGTGGAGCGAGCTGTTCGTCCTGAACGCGAGCCAGTGCTCGATGCCGCTCCACGTGGCGCCGCTCCTGGCGGCGGCGGGTCTTCACGCGTCGCCGATGGCGGCGGACCGCGTAGTCGCCTTCATGGATCACATCAGGATCTTCCAAGAGCAAGTGGAGAAGCTCAAGGCGCTGCACGTCGATTCTGCGGAGTACAGCTGCCTCAAGGCTATCGTCCTTTTCACCACTGGTGAGTTCAATAATGAGTTTCCCTTTTTCTTTACGCATTTGCATTTTTTGTTTTTTACATATTAACTTTACTAACTTGCATACTTGATCCGAAACGTTAGAGGTTTAAAAAAATTGCAAAGATACTTAGCTCGAATTTGTGCCCTTGATGATTTTTATTACATTTCGTGTAAAAATGTTTATTTTCGAGACAAAGAAACTTGTGTCCAGAGGACTAAAAGCTATTTGCTGTTCGCGTTTCTATCTGGCCGTGAATCTTCACAACGTGCTCCTATACGATACTTCGGTCGTCATCCGTATTACTCGCGCTTGTCCCGCCTATAATCGTCATGACGATGCTATCTCGAAGACGCTCGTTGTCACGTAGCCGCGATCCTCGACGACGGTCCTAGAGAAACTCAGTCAGCGAGAGGAACAATGCTCTCTCTCTTCCCCCTTTGATCGCCGAGCCTCACGATTCCTGTAACATCGAGAGCGCCGGAAGAACTCGACTCCGAGCGTAAGCGAAATGCTTCTCTCTCTCTCTCTCTCTATCTTCAGAGAAACTACGCGTTCTCTCGACGTTAGCCCGTTGCTCGCTGACCGTGGCTTCGTCTAATCGACGTGGCGGAGATATTATCGCTGCCGGTACGCCCGGCGACTGTCATCCAGCAGCGCGATCCCCGTCGGGCGACCAGGAGACGACGACGACGGGATGACGACAATTCACTGACGTAACAATGTGTAGCGCCGCGGCGGCGTCGACGGCGACGCGCCGTATGTACATGTACGTAAACGTTGTGTCGCGATCGTCATCGAGCCGCTGAGAGAGAGACAATGCGTTTCTCTCCATTCCCTTCCACCCTCTCTGTTCATCTCTCCCGCAACGTGTTCCGAAGCCAATCTCTAGTCCTCATATCTATCTCCTCTTCCCTCTATCTCTCTCTCTTTCTTTCCCCTCTCTAGTTCTCTTTCTCCTTTGCTACATCCGATGACAACCGCATCCTGTCCGAACGAGCCGCTCGCGCGAGATATCTCTCGGCCCATCTGGCTCCTTTCTCCAGGAGGAACCATCGCACACGATGAGAGGATTTCGACCAGGCCATTTTCTCTCTCTCTCTCTTTCTGTTTGTTTCAATGTGTAGCATTCCGTCGGTACATGCACGCACATTCGCACGACCCCACGAACGGTGTGTTTAAAGTCGAGGGGGGTCGACGAAAGAAAAGAACGGCGACGGCGGCGGCAACCACGACGACGGCCACATGCTAAAGCATCTCGTCGTAGATACGAGACGGGGAGCTATTTATTTCCGTGCTATATGGGCGTGCTTAGCTCGGCTTAGCTTATGCTAATGTCCCTATTCTCGGGGAACTACCTTTTCGCTTTTTTGCTCGACTTTTTCTCTACTTCTTCTGCGCCCGGACGCGATCGCGCCGGACCTTTCGTATTCTCTGGTATATGGAGGCCACCTTCTCTCCCTTTTCTCAGGATCTAACCCTCGGCTATATACGTGTGCGTCCGCCGTCGGTTTTAAAATGTAATTATGTTTTTACGAGCGTGAGTTTTGCGCACAAGCAGAGATGCGATTCGATGAATGGATCAAATATCTCACATCTTATTTGATTAATACATTAGACATTAACTTTCAACTCTCACTCGATGACAAGTGAAGAATAAAATTCTTGCTAACAAATCACCCGGTAAAGCGTATAACAATATATCAGCGCCGATAATAATGCCGACAGCCGACGCGAGATAAGCTCATTACAGCAAAGGGGTTAAAGGGAGGACCGTTGTGAAGGTTAAAAAGTGAATGGGAGAGACATCGTCTCGCCCAATTTAACGTAATGGAAGGTAAAAGCGTGGAAACGTGGGTCGTGTAATCCGCGGCCGCGAATGAATTTGTTCGAAATGAAAAGTAAGAATGAACGTTCGCACGTACCTCCGTTATTACGTTAATCGAGGTGTGTCACTATAGCGAAACACAGAAGTAACGAATGCGAAATGCATTATTAATTGCGCCATCTCGGTGTGCCGTCTCAGAGATTGCATTACGAGATAATGAAACGGTGCTCACACACAAAACTTTTGCTACACGTTCCACATAAATACGATCGTTTGATTGTTAACGTTTAATAGTTAACGGGATCGTGAGAAATACTCGAAGCGTCGTGATTATAACGTAACAGGTTTAAAACGCAAATTGTCGTAAAACCCGTGTATCGCGATACACATATTAAACCGTACGTCACGTCAACCAAATTTACGGTAATAAATAAAGCTTAGAGAGTAAGTTGTTTTTTTACTCTCTTTTTTAGCAAATTTCTATCATATTTTACTATACGTCTAATATATTTAACATGGAGAAGATATTCCGCTTGCAATATTATAGTTCTTACCATATCGCGCGTAATTGACGTGAAATTAGCGTGTCCGTCGGCAAGAGAGCGCGGATAAATTTTTTTCCGCTCCCTTTCTTTCTCTCTTCCTCTCTCGTTGCGGTAATTTCTCTCAGCTACGCTTGTGAAGTGTACGTTGGCGACTGTTCTTTTCTTTTTTTTTTTTTTTTATTTATTGTACACCCCATAGCCGCCGGATCACGTGTCTAATTGTTCGGATAAAACGGCGGAACGAGGGCACAGTGCATAAAGTACGTTTAGCTCGCTAAGATCTGCCGCCTCTCAGCTTTCTCCGGTTGTGTTGTGCATGCACGAGATGTGCATACCCGGTGGTCCAAAATGACTGAACAACACAACCGCCGTCGTAGCTTTGAATAATCGTCGCCCGAGATCATTACCGCCCCGACGTCGATACATCGGCCCCGTAATTATACGGGAAAACGAGCGCTGCCACGATAGCTCTCTCGACTTAAACTCTTAATTGCAACAACAGGCCGACGGTTGCTATTTATCCTGCGGTCGGCAACATTTCCCGAGAAATTCGCGATCAGAAATCCCTTATGAACGTCGATTTGCTGTCGCAGTTACAAAACAGGCGTGAAGACCTGGACTGGCTTGTTTCTGATCTACCAGAACGCAATCGGTATTCTATCTTATGAGCGATATGCAATTTTAATCAATCTCAGAAAAAACACAATTATTTTATTTATTAATTTATTGTTTTTTTACACGTAAGTTTTAGTGGTTCTATTCTATTGATCTTCAATTCGCGAAAAGTTTTGGCGCGACGAAAAACGAGAGAAAGGAAGAAATATGCGCGGCAATTGTTATCAGTTATCCAAATCCCTACTCGAGATTAAGGCGGTCCTCGATTTGTGTTCCGAAATCCAAGCTCTCGTCCCGAGGATAAGATCGGCCGCGTTATCTTGGCGCGCGTGCGCGCGCGCACACGTCGAGCCACCCCGTAGAGGCCGGGCATGTAAATGCGCGCGGGCGCGGATATATTTATGCGAGAAAGGGTATTACCGGAGCCCGGCGAGTGAGTGCGCCGGGTACCTACGTGTATCTTGATGGGAAACACTCCCACGATTATGTGGCATGCAATGCAATTCCCTCTACCTCGTCTTGCCCAACAACCAACCGTCGCGCGAGCGGACGAACAACCCGCTATTGCGTTGGCATGTCGCGTTTCTGCGTGCGCGCGCACTGATGCCACCGGTATTTAACGATCTAATTAAGAATGTAAGTTCAACGAGAGAAAGAGAGAGAGAGAAATGAGCGATGTTGTCGGCAACGAGGAAGGAAACATGGATCTTGAGGCATCTTGGCGTCGCGGCTACTTCCGACTACTTGATGTTGATGACGTACGTTTTAACAACATTGAATATATATATTAAATACAATTTAGTAAGCAAAAAGAAAAGTTAACAAGAAGATTATAAACATTAATTATTAATGAGCGAGTGCTTATAAACGTTGGTATTTGAGAAATATTAAAGTTATTTATTTGTGTTTTTGCTACGTCTATAAAAAAATTCTTAGAAATATATTAATTATTCATTCAGTTTTATAATTTGCTAATAACTACTGACGGAATTTTTTTACACCGTGTAAGTTCTTCGCTGAGATTTAGGCGAAGGGCTGTACTAGCTTTTCTAAATACGTGATTTCTAAAAATACTGAAATAAGCGAATGGAGATAGGCGAATAACTGATTTCAAGGGGCATTGAGAAATCTCGAGCGGAGATGAATGCGAACCGCTGTTAAAGCCGCGGGGCTTTCGAGCGCACCGCGTGCCGGTATGTTTAATAAAATATTGCCACATCATTAATGTAGGCACTGCGCGAGGCCGCGCTCGCGCACGGTCACTCGTCTTTTTCTCTCTCTTTCTCTCTCTGTTTTTCCTACTGCTTGTCGATGACTCGCTACATTCGGACAGGGCATCCTCTATTCGAGCCTAGATACGAGACTGACGCAACGCTCGGTACACACCCACACCTGTCAGACATCACTGACAAGGACTGTCAATAGTAATTACACCTTAATTTCATCACGCAAATATCTCGTCGTGTCGCGTTTTCCTCGCTATTCTCTACCGCATTCTTCGAGCGGACTTCAAGTTTATTAAGTTAATTTTCTTATCAATAATTGAGAGAGAGATTACTCTCTCGATATTGTATTGTAATTTTTTCTAAATTCTACTCAATGTCAGAGTTAATTTTTAAAAACTTTTAATTAACATATATTCTGCTTTCTGATGTTTCTAAATATAAAAACATAAATTACATAAAAAAAAAAAAAAACAAACAAATCGTAATTTCTATCATCGAAGACACGTGTCCTGATTAATTCTGGAACGCGGCTCGTAAACAGGATGTGCGTACTTCGTGTCCCGAATTCATGATCGAGCGATTCGTTGCAACGGTTGCGTCATCAATATCATCTGTAACCGTGTTCCTGGATAGGTCGACGTATTATTGACGCGTTTATCGTCGCCGTTATTATCGCCGTCTGCCGTCCGTACTCACCTGTTAACCTCGGATAATTTATCGATGCGACGAAACAATCGTGTTTTCGAAATGTCGAGCGGAAAAAAATGACTTTGAAGAGATAATACGAGAG